ATTTATATTTATATTTATTTATGTGTTTTGTTTAATGTATTTCTTTGTTTATTTATTTTGTACAGTAGTCTACCAGTGACCAGGGTATGACTGTATAAGGCGTGTCTGCTCCCGCCTGCACGCAGAACGCCACATCCGTAACACTGCGAGGAGCGGCCACCACCCGGGGCCTGGGCTCTGTCCCTTCGGCGCCTTTCAGGGAGTGCTCGAGCTCGAGGGAGGCGAGCTGCGAACAAAGCTTCTCCAAGATTGGCACTTTCGCTTTGGAGTCGGCCATGGCCAAGAGTGACTGATCTGTTGGATTTTGGAAGATGTCGGTGTTTCACTGGACAGGGAAGTAGATGAGAAGTCGATCTGCCCGGTTGCTGCAGGTCCAGAGTCTCTTGACGCAGGTTGGCGCTACGGTACCGTGAATTGAAACATGTTCTGCGATTCGGCCAAACTGCTTCTGTCACTCGAGCGAACGTCAGGACGTTTTTGTCCTCGGCTAAGCCTTCCGGTGATCGGCCATGCTAGACATGTTGGTCTCACCGGCTCTCGCAAAGATCCATTTCTGAGCTCTAAACCTGGGCTTCTGTCGATTACCCTTCTTAGCTCTGGCAAGATTTTCGACCGCAAGTTCGGATCCTCTTCAGCTCGGCGGCTTAGCCGCCGAGCTGAAGAGGCAGCTAAGAATCGAAACATCTGGCGAATGCCTCAAAATACGAGGATGTCATCGACCACCCACCCGAACGTGCAGCTCAGTGAAGACCTGGAGATTTACATGTGGATCGGACTTACATCTACATCGCCAACGAGACTTTGTTCAGAATTCAGATGAAGACTTGGGAGGGTTCACAGGAATGCAATCAGAGGCAGATTCGGGCCCATCCACTCTGTGGGAATCCGGGTGGGGTTCTGGGGAGCCTGAGCCTCCCCGGACTACTAATAACAATAGTAATAATAGTAACAACAATAATAATAATAGTAATAATGGGCTATAATATTAGTACTAATAGTAATCATAAGAATAATAAGAATAAGAATGACCTCCAAGCACGGGCTTTCTCCATACCCCTGGTGCCTTCATCGATGCCAGGACGCAATCACGGAGTGACATACTGGGCACCCCATCCTGGCGGCACGGCGGAAGAACGTGTTGCTTCAGGCTGCTGCAACACACAAACGAACAGAAGAACAGCAGTTTAAAACCTAAAAGCATAAGATGAAATGACTATGGTAATGATTGCAAAGGACTTTCCTGTATCTTGTCTAGCAGCACTAACCACATTTGTTTCTGTTCTATTCACCGTGAACATGTGCACAACAACTCTCGCCATCAGAAGCATAAGTATCAAGCAAAGAAGACGTCGCCATCAAGAGTCTCAGTAACTATCAATAATCAGCCAGCAAGACTATCTTGGCATCGATAGTCATACAAACTACCAGCACCAGAAGCAGACGCGACCAGCAAACTGCAAATTGCACACCTCCGATCCTCTGGCAATGTCATGCTGCAAGGCCTCGAAATGGAAATTCTTGATGTGCTCCATGATGAAGGCCTATGTGACACTAGCAGTTGTTGCCGCTCGGATAGCGACATGTTGGGATCATCTGTTCTTGGCCTCAGCCTGTGAAGCTCAAGCCGCAAGCGTTCATGACATTGGTAGTTAAGACGTTATGACGAGTACGTCTACTGAAGATTTCTGATACTGATTAACCACGCATCTGGCCTCACTGGTCAGATCGAACCCTGCTTACAAGCACGCATGGCGGTTGTTCAACAAATCGCTGACCAGCTGACCATAAGATCAGCAAAACAGGAGTGGATTCCCGATGCCCGTAAACCAAGAAAAAAGAAGACTTGTTTCGCAACCCTCACAGCAACCTATGAATGACACGCTGCACAAAGTAATATTCTGAAAGGTCGTGCGAAAACCGTGTGTGATTAGAAACACCCATACTATTAGAAACCCTGAGGGAAAACCCAACGATCAAATCCTCTCAGCCCGCTTAAACCCTAAACCCTAAACCCTAAACCCTGAACCCCAAACCCTAAACCCTAAGCAGCCCCCTTAAAGCTACACCCTAAGGTCCTAAACTGTCTCAAGGTCCGAGGCTGCTGCCAGGCCCTGCGGCCCCGAGAGGCCAGAGACGCAAAGCCCTGGCAGGCTCGCCTGCAGCTACGGTGCTTGGGTTTAGGGTTTAGGGTTGGGGCCTTTCAGGTTGAGGGCTTTTGGGGTTTAGGGTTTAGGGTTTGGGGTTTAGGGTTGAGGGTTTAGGGTTGGGGCCTTTAAGGTTGAGGGCTACACCACTTCTTGCTCTAAGTTGTCAGGGCTCAGAGATAGGATTTTAGGCTTCCTTTGAGGACTGGGACTGTGAACCGTAAGCTTAGGGGACATGGGTTGGGTGCAGCTTCATGACAAGGAGGCTTCCGAACAGCAGATTCCGATCCTTCTTCTATATCCCAAATCGATGTTCGGCGGCCTCGACACTCTTCAGTTCTGTGAAACTCCACTTCGTCTCCTGGTGCATGTCGGATGCCGAAACAAATACCCGTTAGGCTGTCGTCAGGTCCTCCACTCTCTGCTCCAGCTGCGGGTTTTGCAACCAGGATGTCACTTCCTGGAGAGCGGCAGGCTGCTGGGTCACGAGTTCTGCTGCAAACTTGATGATGATCGTCGCATTACAGCTGGTGAGGTCCTCATCCGAAACCAACGTGTCGCAGTCACGGTCGATGGCATTGAATGCACAGATCACATACGGCAGTATCCTGACAGGAGCTATACAGACATCAACCAACCCCCTGTAAAGTGGCACGTCCTGCCTGGTAAAAGAATCCAGCTCCTCGGAGAAGCTCCATCCCAAACGTTCCTCTACTGGCAGGGGTAACCCGGCAGATGACACTGTCTCATCGAGCTTAGGTAGGGCTGCAGACCGCGGATCAGGAAGGAATCCTATGTTGTGCGGAAGAATGTGTGAGGATGCCAGACGCTCGATATAAGAGAGAAAGAAATGGTGGTGCCAGATGTTTCGGGATTGTCACCAGCAGCGCACATCCTTCTCGGAGGGCTGCGTCGCAGCAAAGAATGCCACGATCGCCTCCGTTACAAAATCACACGTGGGCAAATCCTGCAGAACCAGGGTCGAAGAGGAACAACGCTGCAACAGCATACGAGTGTGCATACGAGTTGACCACTGATGAAAAACGATGTCAGAGACGTGAATAGATTATTCTGGGCATGACGCATTGCACATGCAATGTGCTGTATCCTCGCGTGTGCCTCCGCCTGCTTCTGCGGGAGGCGGCCGTAAGGATCCCGGCGAAGGGTGGCAAGAGCCTTGCCGAACTCCTCCCGAGGGGTGTCGTACCGATAGCAATCTTGGTAAGTAGTTTCCAGTGGAACGGGCATGCATCTGTACTTAATTACGGCTTTGAGGCTTGTCTTCATTCGCTCGCTACCCTGATGTGATGACGATGATGATGCATATGACGATGATGACGACAACGATGTGATGATGCTGATGATGACGGCAGCGATGCTGATGATGATTATGGTAGTTATTCTTATCGTTATTTTGATTATGGCTATTATTATGACGATGATGATGCTAGTGATGATGATGCTGTTGCCACGGATGGAGTAATGGCGTGATGTGCGTGAGCGTGTGACAAGCTGAAGTCTTCATGCGGTGACCATCATCGCCATCGACAACGACACCAACATCATGTTTATCACCATCGTGCCCAGCATCAGCACCGTCATCAAAACCAGCACCATCAACAGGATTTATCATCATCATCATCATCATCATCACCATCATCAGCATCAGCATCATAATCCCTATCTTTCTGAACCAATATGCTGCTCTGCAGGGTCACAACCACAGTTACGCTGTCGTCATCGCCATCATCCTTACCAAACTTCACACTATCAGCACAGTCACTCGCATCATGCTGCTACAGCCGCTGCCATCTTCATCATCAGCACTATCATTATCACCCTTATCGTTGTCATCCCAACAGAACAAGAATTTTGTGGTTACTGTCTTCCGCATTTCTGGCTAGCACCAACTTTATCTTCACTAGCAGCAGTCTGCCAGTAGCAGTTGTAGCAGCCGTCGCCGTACAGTAGCAGTCACAGTCGGAGTCACAGTCGCAGTCACAATCGCCATCTCGCTAGGAAGAGTACAAGTAGAAGCCGCAGCAGTAGTAGCTGTTGTCGCAGTTGTTGTCGTAGTTCTGGCAGTCGTCGTCGTCGTCGTAGCTGTTGTTGTCGTCGTAGTCGCAGTCGTAGTCGTAGCCGTAGTCGTAGCCGTAGTCGTAGTAGTAGTCGTAGTACATACTAATAACAATAGCAGTAGTAGCATTAGAGATAGTAATAGTACCACTAGCAATAGCAGCAGAAGTAGCAGCGGCAGCAGCAGCAGTAGCAGCAGAAGCAGCAGCACAGTAGCAGGTAGCAGTAGCAGTAGTAGCAGTATTATTTGCAGTAGTAGTAGTAGTAGTAGTAGCAGCAGCAGTAGTAGTAGTAGTAGCAGTAACAGTAGTAGTAGTGGTAGTAGTAGTAGTAGTAGTCGTCGTCGTCGTAGTAGTAGTAGTAGTGGTAGTGGTAGTGGTAGTGGAGTGGTAGTGGTAGTGGTAGTGGTAGTGGAAGTCGTAGTGGCAGTGCTAGGAGTAGTAGCAGCAACAGTGGTGGTTGTGATGGTGGTGGTGGTGGTGGAGCCAGAGTAGGAGCAGGAGTAGGATTGAGTAGGCGGAGTAACTGACAGGAGCAGCAGTAGCAGTAGCATTAGCATTACCATTCGTAGTTGCAGCAGCAGCAGGGGTAGCAGTAGCACTGGTAGTAGTAGCAGTGGTAGTAGCAGTAGACACTCTTGCTGCTACTGCTACTACAACGACGACTACTACCACAAATACTACCACCACTGTTTCTACTAGTTGCTAGTTAATTACACCTTATCCTCAAAGCTACCCAGGCCCAGCATCTCTTGATACGGCAAAATCTTTAGGTCATTTAAAATTAATAGGCAGTCCAACATTTTATTGCTTCACTATGGTTCCCTTCATTCAGGAGTCGTTGGCTGTCAGGGTAGACGGTGACTGTTTAATTCGAAAACGGTCCTTGGTCCATGGTGGGTTCTTGTCACAGTGGCGAGCGAGGAAAATGTTGAAAACCTCAGCATGTCTAGCTTGTCTCGAAGGGTACTTAGGCCTTGGAGGTTTAGGGTTTCGCAGAGGGTTCTTTCCGGGCTTTATTGGAATGAGGGTCTTAAAGGTATAGGAGTGGGTGTACGACAAAGCTGTGAAATGCGAATGATGTACTTCAAGAAGCAAGCTGCGTCAGCTTTTTGGGAACGTTGATTCTGGAGGGATTGGGGCTTAGGTGTTGCTGTAAAACGCGTTGAAGGCGCCGGTAATTGCTTTGTAAGTGGTGCTATCAGGTTTGTAAGCTGTCGTAGCGGCTTCACGTTGCTATAGGAAACCTGTCGTTCCGCAGGTACCCTCCACACCACCACCCCTTCTCACCCCCACCGAGCTCATTGTCGAGGGCTCAGGTTTAGGGCTCAGGGTCTCCAGCGTTTACGACACCTGCAGGGCACCCACAGGCTCCTAATGCCATGTGGAAGCCTTGAAACAGTAGAGGTACCGACCTTTTTTAGGGGTCCTTCACGTCAGGATGCTACTACTAGTAAGGGTCTAAATCTATCGTCTTTCGTAGGGTCCCGTCTTTTCTAGAACTCCAATGTGGGGGTCGGTCTTTTCTCACGCCCTGTCCCGGAGGTACCCTGATTGCAGCCACCATGCCCGCGCGCGCGCGCGGGTGTGTGTGTGGGGGTGTGTGTGTGTGTGTGTGTGTGTCTGTGTGTTTGTCTGTCCGTGGGTGCGTGTACGTGGGTGCGTGTACCCGTGTGCATGTGTGTGTATATGTATACATATACATGGTAGCTTATTGAATATTTACTTGTTTATATCTTTTTATATATGTGCTGAAATTCATTTGTATTTCTCTCTATTTTATGTATATGCATATTCTGTGTACATGCACACAGAAGCATGCATGTATCTGCACACGTATATGCTGATATAAATACAAGTATGCACACACTTACAACATGCGTGCGCTCATATTTTATGTCCAGCTTTCAGCATTTCAGGCTAGTTTGGCAATACACATGTATATATATATATACAAATATAAAAATGAATATAAATATATACTAGTCTGTATGTATAGGCGCATGTGGGTCTACATGCGCGTGTGTGTGTGTGCGCACTGTTACGATACATACATGTATGTTGTTAACGCCCTGTATCTCCAAGCTCCCGCGATAGTAAACTTTGAATACAAAAAGGCATTCAGCCAGCGATCATGACAAAACAGAGAGCCGAACTCCCCCAACCTTAAGCCCTCAGGACCCCTGTCAACTCCTTTAGAAGCAACTTGAGCCCAGTCAACCAACGCTACAAACTCCCATGTTTCAAGCCCATCCAAACTCCTGGCTCCCTGTGTTTCCGGCGCACTTCCGTTCTTCGAGAGAGGCTTCGCCGGCCTGGTGATTCAAGTCGTTATTTTCTGGCTTGGGGGGTTTTTAGGTCTTTAAGTGTTGAGTTTAAACTTTTGTGTTGGTATCGGGATTGTAGCTTAAGGTGTAAGGCTTTGCAGTGCACCATGTCGCTTGCATTTGGGACTCGGGTGTGAGGCTTGGCGATGCAGACCTGTGCGGGTGCAGTTTAGGATTGAAGCAGTTGCGGACCTTGCCAGATTTATCGCACCATGCCCTGATGGATAGATCCATGACCCCCAGCTGAGGATATCTGACAATTCTGCTTATGACCTAGCAGTCCTCCAATCCCTAAACCCCACACAACGAACCCTGACCTGAACTCTCAAGTCCCAAAGCCGAAACAACAAATCCTGACAGCCTGATGAGGATCCTGACATAGATTTAGCACGAGGATCTCTAGTGTCAGGACCTGTAATAAAGTCATAACAAACCCTTAGCACTTAGATAACTTACACACCCCATAAACCCCTAAGCAACCCTTTGCTGCCCCCTGGAAGCCTTGGAAAACCCTTGCCAGCCCTATGCAAATCCTTTGAAAAAATCCCTTGTAAAACCAACAACAAACCCGGAGCCCTTTTCGAGAATACCAAGGGTGGCGCCCAAAGAGGGAAGCTGTCGATCTCACCTTCACGAAGGTTTCCAAGGTCAAAACGGGCTTTACAAGCGTTTACGCGGTCTTCCTCAACATGCGAAGAGTGTTATGTACAGTTAGAACGTGCGTTCATAATGCTGAAACGGTTTTTGTCAGGGGGCCGAGAAGCTATTTCTGGTTTCGAGTCTTGGGTTTGGGTTGGCATATGCCACCATTGTAGTGAAGACGACGAGGACCAGCACGACCACTGACAACACGCAACCCCAAGTATGGCAGTAAGTACGATACCCACAGTCCCAGCCAACAACATACTGCCAGCGGCAAGCGCAGGATTCCCTGGCCAACGCATTCTGCTAGTAGAAAATAACAAGTACTCATGTTGAACACCTGAAATAGGGTCGTTGGTCGTAGAGTCAAGCATAGTCGCCAACCGTGGACGTCAGGACCAGCTCATTATGACATGAAGAGTAGTTGTAGTGCACGAAGAATAGTAGTAGTAGTCGTCGTCGTCGTCGTAGTGGTGGAAGTAGTAGTAGCTGCTGTAGTGGTAGTGGTAGTGGTAGTGGTAGTGGTAGTGGTAGTGGTAGTGGTAGTGGTAGTAGTAGTAGTAGTAGCAGCAGCAGCAGCAGCAGAGTAGTCGTAGTAGTCGTCGTCGTACTACTACCCCACTACTACTACTCCTACTCCTCCTCCTCCTCCTCCTCCTGCTGCTGCTGCTGCTGCTACCACCACTACTAGTGCTACGACGACGACGACTACTACTACGACTACTACTACGACGACTACTACTGGTAGTACGACTAGGAGCACGCGAACAAATAAAATAGTTACAGTTGTGATGGGGCTGGTAACTGTAGCATCATTAACCATTAATCATGAGCATCGTCATCAACATCGTCATCATCATCATCAGCAAAATCCTAAACTTCAAACCCTAAAACCCCACTCCAAAACCTAAACCCTACACCCTCTACACCCGAACCGTAAACCCCAAACCCTACAACGAGCCAGCGCCCCGAAATCGAAGCGAGGCCCTCGCCTTTGGATAAGGAGGCGAGGTTTCGGCCCATGTAACAGCAAAGGACCATCGCGCAGATCAAGCCTTGGCATTGGGTTTCAATAACAGGACCTTCATGTCTTGAATAGGGTTCCTTTCACGGGGTTCCTGTAAGTGTTGCTATAAGGGTTGAGTATAGGGGCCTTAAGAATTAGACCGGGCCATGGGTGTTAGGGGGTATAGCGGATAGTTAGATAAAAGGCCCACAAGGAATCACATGTCAATAGTTATGCCGACCTCTATACTACGGCCGCCAAAGCTTGAGGATTTACAGGAGCCTTAGCTTCTGACAGAAGTAGCTCTTCGCGACGCACCAAGTCGTATGGCCTGAGAGAGACAAGCTGTGAGGGTGGGGGTATTGCGCATCCCAGCGTGATCAGTATCGTTGATAGCGCTGCTTGCAGTATATTGCAGCTGCAAGCTTCTAGCATCATGGCGGGTACCAGGGTAGGCGTATAGAGCTTATGGGCTTGTAGGGCATGTAAGGAATGATTGGAATTTTCAAGATTTGTAGGGCTTGTGAGGCTTGCAGGGGGCAAGAGGGCTGCGAGGGTATTGCCAAGAACAAGTTGCAAACACCCACTCCCGCAGGCCTTTCGGTACATCTTCGCGGCTGCCATCTTCCATGTCAGCATCGAGCCTGTGAGGCTAAGGATCGGGGAAACAAGTCTGAACCAGGAGCCCGAAGAACTCAGCGACTTAAAGCCTACTTCAGCTCCGAGCTGACAGGTTGGGCAAAGACTTGCACCAGGGGAGCCCCAAAGTCCAATACCCCTCTACTCAGGAATATACCTTGCATCATAATATGAGGCCTTGTACAATGTAAGCAAAAACATGATAGTATGCTTGTGAGCTGCTCAAACCTTTCTGTGTGTTTGTCCAGCGATTGTTTCCGACCTGAAAGAGAAGGCACAGTGGCTCAGCACACCAACAACTCGGATCACGGCTTGAAGTTAGGGCTTGGGAGTACTGGTATGAGGTTCAAGCTGTAGGAGTCTGCTGACGAAGTTGGCGACTAATTCTCAAAGGTCCTATTCGCCTCTTTCTACTACTGCGACAAATTATTACCTTCCTATTCGTGGCTTCCCGCCAGCCTGGTCTGGAGCCACAACTTGGGGGGGGGGGCTAGGATGGGCGAAGGGCTAGGGTGAGGCTTGCAGTTGGAGGAAATGCTCCGGCCTCGCATAGCCACAGCCATTATCCGAGGATGACGAACCTTGCAGACTAGCGGCTGTCCATGCGAAATCTTGCGGAAGATCTCAGGGCTAACGGAGCGGAGGGCCTGAGGCCCGACGGCCTCCAATGCCTAATTACGTAGAGTTGAGTGCGTAGGTGTCATTCTGAGCCAGAGCCCTGTAGGCCCCGAGGCTCGCACCTTGCCGGCGCTGTCCTCACAACCTTTTTCGGGCCCCCCTCGTCAATGTCGAGAAGCCTACTGACCTTTTTTGAAAGTGCCACTGTGCTATGGTTATATAGGGACAGCAGCCTGCCATGTAAGTAGCTGGGTCTCTGGGGAATGCCCGGCCCAGGATCTTGCTGACCAGCCTTGCCTAAATTGGGCTTGCACAGGTTTCGGGCTTTTTGGCTTCAAAGGATGCTTCTGCGGAAGCAGCTATGAAAGACGTTGATTTGTCCTAAGTCTGTTGTGATCTGAACATCTCATATACTCTATGGTTTGAAACCCAACGTCAACACCCTCGAGACCCCAGGCACAAGATGAACCCCACAAGCTGCATGGGGGCTTGGATGTTTGAGGGTTCAGTGTCGACGTCGTCCGGGGGCTGCGGCTGTAGGACTCAGGGATTCTATCCTCTATCCGTGCTCTATTGCACAGCAATCTTACAATGCTTCTTCTTGGACGCTTGCAACTGATCGCGTACGTTTGCTCTTACTATGACGTGTCTCAATACTACTCACTACCGCTGCTGCTCCGTGGAACTGTTGCTGACCTTGTCAAGATCAGCATCCAACCCCCGAAAAGCCCAAACCTGACCCCTGTAGCCTAAATATCAACCCTGAAGCAAAACAAGCCCCCTACAAAACAAAGACGACACTTACAACCCCCTTACGGGCCGTCGAGGTTCAGCACCCCTCCGTTGTGCCAGGGAGCGCATCCGCTCATGAACGGCACGTGACCCAGAAATCTAAATGCAGAAACTCCAACGGTATCGACGTCAAAAGGATGGTAGGGTCCTTCCGAGCCCTGCACTCTATGTAAACCCAATGCCCTTAAACCCCAAATACTAAACCCTCAAACTAAAGCAAAAGAGTTAGACTGGAGGAGTCTAGAGGCATGTCTTCTTGAACCCTTGGTGGCTGCAAAATAGGAATGTCGAGCATTCTTGCGATGCTTAGGCACTTCTGTTCCGGGTCTCAGTCACAAAGTGGAGTTTAAGGTTTGTATAACCACCCGTAACCTGTTAAACCTCCGCCTCATAATACATATTATGCTCGCGGAGCTCAGTGCTCTATGCTAAACCCTTCGGTTGGCAGGCCGCCTAAGTTCCTGCTCATACACGAGGACGGAGGACCACAAGGACACACAATCTATTATTCCTCCGGGAGACCCAACCGTGCAGGCTCAACAACTTGCCGAAGCACCCCACCCAACATATTTTCGTCGCTCCGACCCTTTTGAAGGGTTTTATGAGGGCTACAAGGGTGTTAATGACCGGAGTAGGTTTTTGCGGTATGCTACTCTTACATGTGGACTGTAAACGATACCATTTGTAGCTATGCAGACCTCGGATGAGGTGCGCTTTGAAAGTTATGACATAGAGGCCGGGAATAACTCGACTACGGCTTACCGGGTGGATGTTCAATAGTCACAGTCTACTCGGGCCCCCATACAAAAAAACGTCAGTGAGTTTTCCTGAATACAATTAGCCAGACATGCCCTCGCAACAACTCTGACACGAACTGCAGAAACGCAAGTTGTGTAGTTATGCAGTACAGATCCCACTGCGGTTGCCAAATTCTCAACACTTGTTAGTTTTGGCTCCAAACCTGATCTGAAGATTCGTGAATGAAGAGTTTTCGGCCTCTCCATCATCTTTGTCACCAACATCACCATCTTTTGGTTCATCACCACACTCGCTTGCTTTCATCATCACTTCGTCCTTCATCACCATCGCAATAGACATCACCTTCTCCATCATGATCGCGTGAGTCTTCGTCCACCGTCCGCCATAAACATGAACAAGACTATGCCAGACTGAAATTTGTCAGATTTTTTTTGAGCTTGGTCCCGACCCGTGTACCACTTTTCCGTCATCACACAGTGAATAAGTTATAGTTTCACATTTGTAAAAAAAGTTTCCGTGAATTTACACTAGGCATGGGACATCTTCAGCCGGAGGCAGCTGTCACGCGGGATTTTCTTCCGTCAGTGCGGATCATGCGCCTTCTTCGGACCAGTCTCCAGAGTAGGCATCTTCGCTGAGATCTTTCGACACATGCCTTGGTCCTGCATCCAGCTCCGACCACTGCCCAGAATACCCTGATTCCAGAACCTGGCTGCCACTTCAAAACCCCCTTGTCTACCATTTCGACGGAACTCCTCCTAAACCCTAGAGCACTCAAGGAATTGAAGCCCTAAACCTAAAAGCCCCTTAGAAAGCAAAAAACTCCTCCCATAGCTCGGCTGAGAAACAGATGCTTCTTCCAAGGGCTGGAGAAACCTGGTTCTTGTAGAAAGCAGGTGCTCTTTCGTAATGGGGAGACCCTAGCTTAAAATGAGTGAAGTCGATGTGGGGAGCCCTAGAATGCGGGATCCTTGTCAAAAGTTCCTTTACAGCTTCGATTCAACAACCCGCATGCAACCCACCCTCCCACAAGAAGGAAAACCTGAACCACCTTTTCAACAACAAAAAACACAACGCATTTACTTTGTATTCGTGCCTGGACTGTGAGGACTCGATGACCTTGCTGTCTTCGGACACCGTGAGCCTAGGTCGTAGTCTGAGCGCCCCCAAACCGGGGGGATTTGATTTAGGGCTGAGGAAGTTTAGGGTGTATGTATGAATACCTAGGTATCTTTGCAGGACCATAGACATGAAAATGAAAGAAAACACCAAACCCTACAAGCCCGAAGCTCCAAACCCTTAAACCCTACGACATGTAGGACCATAATGGCCTTGATCACGGTCAATAGCGTTTTGGGGTACCAAACAGCAAATGTGTGGTACGTAATAAAGGACATTCAGGACGTCTTGACACATTACCAGGTGCTCAGGCACCTGTGTAACCCTAAACTCCACACACTCCCTCAAGCTTATCAAGAGTGAGAAAAAGAAGGTTTGCAAAAGTGTCACCCGGGAGCTAAAACTACCAAAAAGGGAGACATACAACAGCACAATGACAAGGCTATAGGGTCCCTACCTTTAAGGCTCATTTGGTCCCTAAGGAAAGTTCCACCAGGCAGCTTGTTGGAGCCTTCAGAGCTGCTTGCGCGGAGAGGACCCCGTTGATCTGCCTCAGCTTTGCGCTGGGTTCAGGGTTGAGCACTTCAAAGGTTCGCGGGGTTGGACTTAGCAATAGAGCTCAGAAGCTCCAAAGCTTAGAGCTTGTGCGGTGCAGGATTTAAGGATGCCCATGGGGAGTTCATAGGCCAAAAAAATCAAGGGGTTTGTACAACCCCTTCAAAAGCTCAAGCCTATACACCTAACTGCTAAGTTGCGTGATCCGAGGAGGCATGGCTGTGCGCCAGATCTTCACTCACGGCAACGCCGGACTTTGGGGCAGAAACGGAGCTCTTGACTTCCTCCTCTGTCTCCGCATAGCTGGCCTCGTATTCGTCCGCGATGTCCTCATCCGAGGACATCGGCTTCGTGTCCCACTGATACTCGGCCAGGGAATCAGCCTTTGGAGTTCCAGGGTTTAGGCTCTGAGCTTCTGGGTTTACCGCTTTTTGGGGCTTCGGGTTGATGGGGCCTAGTTTACGGTTGAGATACAGCTTGGGTCTTATAGGGTTTCGGTTTGGGGTTTTAGGAATCTGCCTCATCTGGACGGACCTCGCTCAATGTAGGATCTGGAAGAAAATTGCTTTCAGGAGAGCTAGCCGGCTCTTGAAGGTCCACTGCAAATGTCAACAGCGTCCTCGAGTCCCTTGGGGAGTCATCAACACCCAGCTGCTCCGCGGTCGGCTGATCCGACTTCGGCTCATCGTCTATGGCTATGTGAGCAGCTGCTACTTCTTTGGCAACTGCGGCACCTTGCACTTGCACGGCTTGGTCGGGATGGTCGTCTGCTCCTGACGTCCTCGAGAATGCCCCGTCTTCCGAAGCTGATGCAGGATCCTGAGAGTAGCTACGCGAATCATCATCAAGACCAAGTTCCTCCGCCGTCGGCCGATCTGACTTCGGCACCTCGTCTGTGGCTCTCTCAGCATCTGCAGCTTGGGCATCTGAAGACCCTTGCACGGCTT